GAAGTGTGAACCTGTCATCTCGTACTAGGGAGGCTTATGCAGGGCGACCCAAGTTAAATTAAGGTTGGCACAAGCTGGCACTAATTAAGACTGGCTTCACAGAGGGGTTGGAGTTGGGGTGCAGAGAGATGCCTCAGCAGCTGAGAGCACTGCCTGCTCTTCCAGAGGATGGGGTTCCAATTCCCAGTACCCAATAGCAGCTTACAACTTAACTCCAGTTCTAGGGACTAAACACCCAAGGGAAAACATCAATGCACATAAAATAAAGAAAGAAGGGGACAGGAGTGGCATGAAGAGCATGTCGGGGTCTCGGTTTAACCCTGATCAAATCGGGCCCATCTCCACGGCAGGAACTGGTGTGAAGTTTCTCAGCCCAGACCCGACTATTGAACGACCCACAAACTCCAGCTGGCAGAGGGAAAGAAAAGGGGACAGTGGCCTCGGAGCACTCACCTGGATAGTCCCGGATGAAGGACTTATACAGGTCAGCCAGCTGGTCAGGTGTGATGTACCTGCTGGCATCATCGGGAGATTTGAAGTCCAGGTCGTACTTGCCAGACCGGAAGAACTCGGAGGCGGCCACGTCCATGCCGATGACAACCTGGTCGGTGTAGCCGGCCTTCCCAATTGCGTTCTTCAGCAGCTCCAGGGCTGGGAAGAGATGAGGCCAAGGTGGGAACAGTGATGAGTGGGGACTGTCACAGAGCAGGACGTACCCTGTCCTGGCCGTGCATTTGGGGCTGTCAGGCACTCATGGCTCAAAGGGCCACTGGTCAGGGGCCCTGCAAACTCACACAGTCCTTCTCATGGTCAAAGGTCCCAGATTTAGTGTTGTGGCAGCTGAGATCAGCTGTCCTGAGAACTGGCTTCAAACAGAGGCTGGGATCCAAAGGGAAACCTCAGGCAGGGTCATCTCAAGTCAAGGCCGCCAAGAGCTGAGGCTCATGGCTCCTGCCCCCTGCCAATGACCCTACCAGCTAGAAGGTGAATTCACAATAAAGTCCATTTAAAACAGGACAAAGAGGCCACAAAGGGCCAGGGAGAGGGCTGGTAAATGTGCTTGTCACCAGGCCCACAAGAAAAGCCCAACACCTCAGGCCAAGGCGGAAGAATTACGTGTATATGCACACATATTACAAAATTAAATGGGATCGTATAAATTAATTTGCTGGCTGGACAGATGGCTCAGTGGTTTAGAGTACTGGCTACTCTTCTACCCAGGTTCAATTCCCAGCACCCACATGGCAGTTTACTAACATCTAGAACCCCAGCTCTAGGGGATCTAGGACCCATCTCAAGCTACCCCAGTAAAATGGCAGAAGCAAACATAAAACCCAAAGCTCTTGCTTTCCTTAAAGCCTGTCACCAGTCTTGATCCTGTCCCCAAAGTGGCAGGTTTGGGGGACAGTGCTGTAAAGCTCAGTGCTCACCTTCTTTGTTCTCCAGGATGTTGGGTGCGAACCCGCCCTCATCACCCACATTGGTGGCATCCTTCCCGTATTTCTCCTTGATGACATTCTTCAGGTTGTGATAAACCTCTGCCCCAATGCGCATGGCTTCCCGGAAACTGGACGCCCCCACGGGGAGGATCATGAACTCCTGCATGGCCAGCTTGTTGCCAGCATGAGAACCGCCGTTGATCACATTGAAAGCCTGGAAGAAGCAGAGGCGAGCTAAGCTGCCAGCCAAGGGAAGCCATAGGCTATGAAACCTGACCAACCAGCTACTATCTGGTACACACGAGGCTGGCCTAGTGTGTGTCAGGACTTTCCTGAAAATTAGCTTGCTTGCTTGCTTTCTCTCTTTCTTCCTTTCTTTTAGTATTGTCAACCCAACACAATTTAGAACCACATGGAACGGATCCTACAGAGGGACTATCTAGATCATCTATTGGCATTTCTGTGGGGATACTGTCTTGATTAGGTTAACTAGTGGGTGTTAGCAGTCCACGGTGGGTAGCACCATTCCCTGGGCTTGGGTCCTGAACTGCGTAAGGGTGGAGGCTAGCTGAGCTGACATACTTGGTATGTCTGCACTCACCTCCTCCCAACAGGTTTCACTATGTAGCCCTGGATCTCCTGAAGTCCACTTGTAGACCAGCTTGGTCTCAAACTCAGAGATCCACCTGCCCCTGCCTCCTGAGTGCTAGGATCAAAGGTGTGTGCCATCACTGCCAGCTTAATTACCCTCTGAATTCTGGAATTTAGCAGTGATTTACTCCCCAGATTAAGCCTGGTGTTTTTCCATCAGAACACCCCCGAGACTGCAGTGTGCAGAGACTGCACTGTGCAGCACCACTGCCCAGTCTCGCCTCTGGCTGTGAACGTGCTGGGCCCTGCTGCAGACATGTCCCTGCCAGGATGGGCTGTATTCAGAAGCAGGAGCTAAAACAAACTTCTCTTCCCTAAACTTGCTTTCTCTTGGCGTGTTGTACTGCAGCAGGCACCACATGGAAGAGGACAACCTCTAGCAAGTTTCAACAAATCACTCACTGGAACCGGCAGGATGACCTCAGGGTTGCCAGCCAAGTCGGCGATGTGACGGTAAAGGGGTACTCCCTTTTCTGCGGCACCCGCTTTGCAGACAGCCAGGGACACTCCCAGGATGGCGTTGGCACCAAATTTGGCTAGAATGAAACGAACATGGTGAATGGAGGCCGTTTCTTAGCAGCCTTCCTCCCAACTGCCTGCTACACAGGCAAGGTCCTCTAGAGACCCCATGCTTCTCCTGAACCAAGGCCCTACCCTGGGTTGAGCAACTCACATTTATTTTCAGTGCCGTCCATCTCAATCATGAGTTTGTCGATCTTCTCTTGTTCCACAACACTCAGTTTCTGCAGGGGAGACAGGAAGAGGAACACTAAAGCATCGCTTCAGAGGGCGGGGAGGCCCAGGCAAGCCTGTGCACCAAGTCTGTTCGCAGGCCCAGGGGCTCAGCAGATTCCGTATGCTTAGAACACTGGCTCAGTCCCAGCTCCAGAGAGGATAGGGTACAGCAAGAGGCAGCAAAACCACATTTTACTTGTTCCCATCAACAGCTTCAGGCATTTCCCAGGATCTACAATAGACTACAGTCTACCTAGGGAGTCAAGGTCACATACACAAGGCAGATGTGTGTGTGGCCTGTGCTGTATGAAATGTTATTACAGTTAGACAGAAACTAAGCAATAAAGCTCATTGTTCAGTCAAACAAGCAGGGCCCTGCAGAGGCTACCTCTAAGGCTTCCTTTTTGACCAAGACGACAGATTTCCATTGTCTGTTGAGGGGAATGTATGAGCCAGGACGTGGCATTAATCCTAGCACTTGGGAGGCAGTCAGGGCAGAGTCAGGTGGATCTCTTTTGAGTTTGAGGCCAGCCTGGTCTACAGAGCGAGAGCCAGGACAGGCACCAAGCTACAGAGAAACCCTGTCTTGAAAGAGGAAAAAAAAAAAATTTGGTTGATAAAATGGGTGTTTTGGCGAGCCACAGATGGCTCAGATGTTAGGATTACTTGCTCAGTTTCCAGAATCCACATTGGCACCTCAGTTCCAGAGGATCTGAAGCTACTTTCTGGCTTCCCCATGCACCAGGCATGCATGTGTTGCATAAGACACATGCAAGTGCAATTCATGAACATGGCATCCTTCTCTCATTTTGTATACAATATTGTTCATACAGGAACTATGTAGGAGAAAGAATCACAACTCCGTGGTGCCGTGTGGAATGTTCTGCCATCTGGCTGCTTAGACAAGACATTGCTGAAGGAAGAAAGTGAAGGCAAGGCCCAAGCAGAAAGCTCCCAGAGGCCAAACCGTGGTGGTATTGTGTTCCCCAAAATATTGTGTACCTTAATAAACTTATCTGGGGTCAGAGAACAGAAAAGCCACTAGTTAGGCAGTGATAGCACACGCCTTTAAATCCTGGCATTCCAGAGATAGAAATCCCTCTGGATCTCTGTGAGTTCAAGGCCACATTGGAAACAGCCAAACATGGTGACACGCCTTTAATCCCAGAGAGTGGTGGTAGAAAGCAGAAATATATAAGGTATGAGGACCAGAAACTAGCAGCATTCGGCTGGTTAAGCTTTCAGGCTTTGAAGCAGCACAGTTCAGCTGGGATTCATTCTGGATGAGGACTCAGAGGCTTCCAGTCTGAGGAAACAGGGCCACCTGAGGAACTGGTGAGGTGAGATAGCTGTGGCTTGTTCTGTCTCTCTGACCTTCCAGTATTCGCCCCAATAACTGGCCTTGGGTTTGATTTTATTAATAAGAACTTTTAAGATTCCTTACACCAAACCTCACCAGAACTAAGCTCAAATGTGTGTCCCCATGAGTAAAAGGGTGAGGGGAAGGCCTGGGGACGAAGGGACAAAGATTAAGGCGTAGAAGGACGTGCCCAGGAGACTGGAGCAGAGGGCACAGGCGGCTGTAAGAAGCAACTGTCTGGGGACCAGACAAGCAGAACTAATTACGGCTTTACAAAGGCTTGCTGGGGACAAATGACGACGGAGGGACTAGATGTTAGCAAACAGGAAGGAGGAAGTATGGCCAACCGCTCCCTGAAGTGACTGGGAAAGAGCACCGCAGGATTCTGGGTAAGGCTGAGGGCCATTGGACCCTACAGACCCAATTCACCCACAGCAGATTTGCAGTCCCGACCCCTGCTTGAAACACCAGGTTAAACTAAGATGGAAAAAAAAAAAAAAATCACACGTATGTCTGAATGTGTGCTGTGTATGAGGGTGACTAGAGTCCAGAGAGGGCTCTGGAGCCTGAAGCAGGAGTCACAGGTCCTTACCGCCCCCACCTGAGGTTTTTTAAAGCAGGGACAGGGTTGAACTCAGGGCTCTGCACATGTTATGCGAACATTGGATACTATGGGGGGGGGGGGCAGGGAGTCCTGCCTATCTCCCATGTACCCAGGCTGTAGACGCAAGCTGCCACAACCAGTTCTGTGGTGCTTGGGATTGAAGCTCAGGCTTTTTGTTTTGTTTTCTTTTTCGAGACAGGGTTTCTGTGTGTTGTTTTGGAGCCTATCCTGGATATCGCTTTGTAGAGCAGGTTGGCCTCGAACTCAGAGATCTGCCTGGCTCTGCCTCCCGAATGCTGGGATTAAAGGTGTGTGCCACCAGCGGTGAAGCTCAGGCTTCTTGCATCTGCATACATTATCACCTGAGCCCTGTCCTAAGTCCCGGTCACTACCCAAGCCAACCCAATAGAGCAATAAATCCAAAGTCTATGTGTCTACCATGGGCAACGTCCCACAAAGCTGCTGTTAAAACCTGGACTATGGACCTCCCAAAGTTAAGTCAGCACAGGGAACAATGCCAAGTATTCCCACCCCCACCCTGCCCCGCCCCATCCAGTTTCCGGTGATGTCAGAAGCAACAGCTACACACAGGCAGCAGGCAGGTTAGACTCGTGCATGCGAGGGAATGCCCCGAACTTTTAAAGCTCTCAGAAAAAGCTGTCCTGTGATCAAGAAAAGCCCTGGGCCTGGGATTTGCTCTGGTGGCATGGATACCCAGTAGTTACCACGACATGGGGCCTACCTTGCTAACCAGAGCAGGTGCGATAGTTTTATTGATGTGCTCAACAGCCTTTGAGACACCTAGAAGGAACAATCATGAAATTACTGACAGCATTGCTGGAGCACCAGAGTTGTGGGCCCAGAAGCCCACCAAAGACCCTCCACAGGATGTCAAACCCCACCCCCACAAAGAGGCTTTCTGGCCCAGTCTGAGTGCTCTTCCTTAGGACCCCAGGGGGTTAGAGCCACACCAATCAGCCCAGAATGATCTGAGGGACGTTAGTTCAAGATCATGCACTGGAAGACCAGCTGCACACCAAGGATGCCGGGCGGGCGTGTTACCTGCGTGCACAAGGCTGGTGCCAGGAACTCATTAACATACTTAACAGGTCTCGAGACGCCTGCCCAGTAGAGGTGAATAGAGAAGGAAGAAGAAACTCAGGAGAGAACAGGCTTCAGAGGAAAGAAAGTGAGGGAAGAGGAAGCAGGAAAGGTTCAGATGTCAGGCTTCTCCTAAATGCTGGCTCGTTAGGGGCAGGGCCGGGCTGTCCGCTCTCGAGGCCTGTGTTTTATTTGAGGAGACAAGCTCTCACAATGCCCAGTGAACACGGTCTTCCCTCTCTTGCAGAGTCCTTCTCAGCTGCTGCCTCCACATCACTACTGGGCCAACATTGGTCACAGTAACACTTTCCGGCCCTCGGTTTCTTTGCAAAGACCCCCATACACCTTGCAGGGCTCATACTGCACTAGGGAAGAAGGCGGGGTCTAATTCTGGGTCCTCTGCTAGATCTTGGGCAAGCAGATTCCATTTACACACCAAGGTTCTAGGTCAGTCTGCACACAGCCAGGGTGCGGCTGATACGCCCAGGCTGTGCCTGTCTACTGGGCGACAGAAAAGCAGACTATAGAATCGTCTGCATGCCTCCACTGATGGTAAGCACTTCTCCCCATTGGAAATGGGAGTGGTTTCCAAAGTTCAGCTCCTTCAGAGAGGAAGAGGCATGAACATAAAACTAACGAGTCTTCTTGTGTTTCATGCGTTTCCAGGCTTGGGAATGTGGGCATCAGCAAGCAAGCTACCTGCTGGCTTTCCATGTGATAACTAACAGTGCTCAGCAACATGAGTGAAACCCGGAAAAGGGCAAGAGGGGCTGGTGTGTGGACGCCGGACGTGAGCTGCTAGCCTTACCCTTCCCCATGTAGCGAGTCTTATCATTGTCACGGAGTTCCAGGGCCTCATAGATGCCAGTGGAGGCACCACTGGGCACGGCAGCTCGGAAGAGACCTGCAAAACAGAGGAGAAATAGCAACTAAGAAATACAGAACAAACCTGCAGTTCTAATGTACAGGAGGGCCAGGCAGCAGATCTCTGTGTTTGAAGCCAATTCTGACTAAGGCAAGACTTGTCTTAAAAAGGAAGAGATTAGATTTCATCCCCAGTCCGTGCATCTACCCTCACTGTGGCTTCCTCTCAGCCAGACATCCTTGCAGAGCATTCTTTCCATTGAGTCTAGTACATCTAGAGCATTCTTTCCATCTAGTCTAGATCCAAATAGATGTTCAGGTGTCTGCAAGTGCTTGGGGACCTGCAAGGTAGTCTGTTTGCAAGCCACCCCAGCTTCCTGTACATCCACAGCGCTCTGATCTAGGTGAGGCAAGGGTCAGTTCTCCCTCCAGCACAATGAATATTTGCATAGGCCAGAGTTCAACTCTCAGTAGCATTTAGACAAAAGATAAAATTCCATTCATTTCAACCTAAAAAAACATCTTGTGGAAGCCAGAGGTTGCCATCAATTGTCTTCCTTGACACAGGATCTTACTGAACCTGGAGCTTACACAGCTGGTGATACTGAATGTCCAGTGAAATGTGGGAGTCCCTCCAGGCCTGTCCAAGTGTAGATCACTAGACGTATTTTTTTTTCCTAAAACAGGGTTTCTCTGTGTAGCTTTTGGAGCCTGTCCCGGAACTCACTTTGTAGACCATGCTGGCCTTGAACTCAGAGATTCACTTGCCTCTGGCTCCAGAGTGCTGGGATTAAAGGTGTGCACCACCACCGCCTGGCTAGACCTAGTTTTTTATGTGGGTCCTGGGGATTGGAACTCATACCTCATGTTTGCATGATGGGCACCTTTCTAATGTGATCATCTTCCCCAGCTGCTTTTTAGATATTAAGCCAACCATTATGATACACACCCGTCATCACAGCATCTAAGAGGTCTCAGGGTTTGAGAATCATGTGGCCTACATACACAGGAAAGCTTGTGGCAAAATCAACAAGTTAATTATTGTAAGCATTGTTTTTAACCGGCAAAAAGTTAGTAAAAAAATACTAACTTTATAGCCGGGCGGTGGTGGCGCACGCCTTTAACCCCAGCACTCGGGAGGCAGAGCCAGGCCGATCTCTGTGAGTTTGAGGCCAGACTGGTCTACCAAGTGAGCTCCAGGAAAGGCGCAAAGCTACAGAGAAACCCTGTCTCAAAAAACCAAAAAAAAAAAAAAAACAAACTAACTTTAATCAGTTTAAAGACCTTCAGGTAGATGCTCTTCCCAGCTTCTAGTTTCTTGATTCTGTTAAAGTCAATTTTCAAGCGGAGAGTTGCACCAGCTGATGGTGCCAGTCCTCGGTATTAGACACCTGATGGAACCTAGCATCCTTGGTGTTCTCCATGAAACACAGAGCCAGGATAAGCGGAGAACCCTCCCGGCAGCAGGGCCAAAGCTGCATATAAGCCGGCCCTTGCTGAAGATTTGAGGATCCTTCTTTTGCGGAGGGATGGGAGGATGGGCAGGAAGGGCTGGGCTCTGGTGGAGACGCGTGACTCAGACAATGACTCAGCCCTGACTGGCAGGTCGTGGTGTGCTCTACAGGACTGTGAAACATGTCTTCCGCAGGTCCCTTTCCACGACAACCACTAACTACATCTCTGAAGACTAAACTGGAAGCAGCACAGGACTCCTTTGGAATAGGAGACAGGTTCCTGCTATGTAGCCCAGGCTGGGCCTCAAAACTGGCAATCCTCCAAGTGCTGAGATTAAAGGCATTAGCTGCCCCACCCAGCCAGTTCCTTAGAGTATTTTTTTTGCAAAGCTGTGATTTGAACTTAGGACCTCCCAAACATTAGGCAAGTTCTCTGCTGCCTATATTTCTAGTCCATTGAAAGAAGTTCTAAAAATAGCTTCTGGACTGTCCCAAAGCCCCACCAGGGACTTGCCACCACATTTGTCCCTCATCTCTTTTCTCATCCTGTTGGTGCAATGGCCTATTGCCCCCTTTGCTACAAAACCAAAGGATGGTCCTTTTAGGAAAGGGCTTAAGGCCTCACTTTCCTTCTCTGCCCCAATGATCCATCCTGGGTAAACAGCAGGTGCAGAGCTGGGTATGGTGGCACATGCCTGTACTCTCAGGAGAGGGACGCCTGGGACAGGGGGGATTTGAGCACATAGGACAGTCCCTTGAGATATGGCTCAGGGGTGGTCAGGGGTAGCAATGGAACGTGGTAAAGAAACCATGGAAAAAGTGGGCACATACCTTTTGAGGTGCAGAGGTCAACCTCAACAGTGGGGTTCCCACGGGAGTCAAAGATCTCTCGGGCATGGATCTTGAGGATAGACATGGTTTGTTTCTGGAGGGGAAAAACAATTCATACCTTTCATAAACTATAACACAGAATGTTAATTCATTCAAGAGATCACTTCTGAGGGATCCTGGACTGAATGGAGAATGAGTGGGCTAAGTGTTACATACCAAAGGGCGCTTTGGTACATCCCAAATAAGTAAAAATTTTTGTTTAAAAAAAAAAAAAAAAAGGCAGGCTGGAGACTAAAGGCCTGGCTTAGTGCTCACGTGGCATGTTCAAAACCCTGCCTGGGCTACATCCCCCAGAGATGGGGGTGGTAGTGGTGATTCAATTGCAAATGTGTCCTGAGCATGTTCAGGAAGTCCTAGGTTGGATTCCTCAGAACTACCGGGGGTGGGGGAATTGGGGGGAGGTTTAAAAAAGCTGGAAATTGTAATCTAGCTGCACACCCAAGGCCTGAGAAGGAACTGGGAAAAAGCAATGAAGGAAAGTCACAAAGGTCACAGGCTAAACTATGTAAAAATAGGCCAAAAAACAAAAAAAAAAAATCTGCAGACTGGAGGGGAATCTGGCATTGTAAACGAGTGCAATTGTGAGCGAAAAAAGCCTAACTCAGATTGGACCCCCATGGTAACAGCAGCCTATTTAGTTGATAGAATTTGATAACCAATAAGAAATTGCATTTGTGAGACAGGAAGTCCTAATTCTTTGGTCTGTGATCATCAGTACGATACTTTCTGGTCTGGTAGCACGTGCCTGCTGGCTTGGTTAGCACGTGGGTGGTCAACTCCCTCCGCCATATTTCGGCAATGGCGATGTCTTCTGATTCGTATTTCTTTCAAAAGGGCATTTTCTTATTAAAACAAAGTGTCCAAGAACCCTAAAGAGGTTTAATTAGAGATCACCCTGAGAAGAGGGTTAGTGGAGAAGTCTTCAAAGCAAGCCCCTTGCTTACTTTTTCCCCAGTAGGGTTTCCAAATTTATCTAAGAGCTTCTGGAAGTAAACTGGATGAAACATGAGGCCAAATGAGCGCTCAGAAGCCATTGTCTAGCTGGCTTCCCCACATCCTCTCTGGCAAGGGCCGAAGTGGCAAAGGCATCTTTTTGTTTCAACCAGAAGCCACTTCTGTGGTTTTGTCTTGTGAGACAAAGGACCTTTATGCACTAATCAAGAAAAAAGTATCTACTTTTTACCCTATTACAAAGTCTCCATTTCAAAACATCCAAGATTTACTGTTTATGCTTCAAACACATTTTTCTTTAAACCTGGCTGGGTTTAAATACCATTCTCTTCTTTGTCTTTCCTCCCCACGCCCCACATTCATTGTATGCCAGGTTGATCCGAACTCATAGTGATCCTCCTGCCGCAGCCTCCCTACTGCTGCGTTTACATGTGTGCATCACCACACTTGGCTCGAAGACATTTTAGTTTTCTTTTCATTTACTTGGGGCGGGAGTGGGGGTGGGGGCGCCCACGTGCCACCGCGCAGTGTAGAAGTCGGACTACTAACTTGTAGGAGTTGCTTCTCTCCTCCCAACATGCATATCTCACTCGGATCGTCAAACTGGGCAGCAAGCGTCTTTTCCCAGGATAAAATCTGACCCGCTACCCACTAGGTCTCTTAACTGGATTGTACACCAGACCAGGGGCAGAAAAGTGGACCTAGAGGTCAGGGTATCAGTCCACGCCGGCTCTGGCCGCCCCCAAAAATCAAAGGACCACGCTGCTTAGGCCAGAACGAACAGGAAGTTTTCTTAAATACATCTTAAGGTCAGTTCACGGCCATGCAGGAAGCCCGCAGGTCTTGCCTAACTGGGGCCAGGTCTCCTAAGGGCTTACCAATTATCCAATGGAACTGCTGCAGGTCCCTCTTGAATACGCACGTAACCGGTCAGGAGTATACCGGAACAGAGATGAGCTGGACCACTCCCGCCCAGTGACGCTAGATTGCGGTCCAAGAGCCACAGCCCAAGCAGAATATGCCGGGAGGTTGGGCGTGGGGACTCTGCCTCTAAGGCATCCTTGTTTTAGGCCCTTCCATTTTGAGAATGGTTTTCATGAGTATCAGGAGGTCAAGCCCTTCTCTCCCTCAAAAGCCTTCCGCTTAGCTACAGAAAGAAGAGCATTTTCCACTCCCCAGGGCGACGATTGCCCATGTTTTTGCTGTTGCCGGCTTGGGAGGCCAGTTAAATTGCAAGCCTGTAGCTGTGTATTAACAGGTGGATTTGCACCCCCCCATCCCCCTTCCAAGAGCCCGCGCCCTTCCACGAGGCTGACCCGAGTGCTCCCTGGGTCCCCGGCCCGCGCCCAGGGTAGGAGGTGCACATGCCCACCGGATTCCCAAACAGAGCTCCTGAGCGAACCGTCTCAAGCGGCACCCGAACCCTACCTTGCAGCTGGGTTGCTGTGCAGGAAACGAACAGATGTTTCTGCAAACACCCTGGAGAGCGTTTAGGAGAGACGCGCGCGCGACCCTGCTCCCGAGCTGCTCTAAGCGCCTCCCACTTCGACAGCGTCCGCTGTTCGGGAGCCCCCGCCCACATCTCGCCTTTTGGGCCCGCCCTTCGTGCTCGTTGTCTTGGCATTGGCTCCGCGTGCTATCACTCCAGAAGAAGAGCGTGACCGAGGTGTCCGCTTGGCCCGCACAGCCTGGGGGCGACGGCCCGGAGGCGGGGTCATTCGTAGCTGGCTGAGCCTGTGGCATCGTTGGGTGGCTGGGAGGGCTTCTCGCTGGCAGCCGGGGGCTTAGCTGGGGGTTTACCGGGGCCGGATGAGGGGCGGGGCGCCGCGTCACGGCCGGCATGCGGCCTCAGGCCCGCCGCACGTATTACTTGTTCCACACGCTTTCGGTGCGGCGCCGGCGGCAGCGCGCACGGCCAGCCCACGACCTTGTTGACCCTCCCGGCCCGGCCGTGCCGTGGGCCCTGCCCCGCCCCACCCCGCAGTGCGGGAGACCTCCGCAGGGTGGAAACGTTAAGCCCCAGCGTGGAAGCCTCACTCGCGTGGAACAGAGTGGGGATGGGGGCGGGGGGGAAGGATAGGACACTGCGCCTGCGCACTGTGTACTCCTTCCCCTCCCCTCCCCCCGGAATCCACTCTCGTGCCATGCGCCAAGGTGACCCTGTCCTTTTGTCCTTTCTGTGAAGAGTCTCAGACAGCGGAAGCCAAAGGAAAGCAAACTTTCCCATAATATTTTATTTACCCTAATCATTTTATTATTGGGTGCAGGGTATCGAAACTAGGATCCCGCTCGAACTAAATAAAAGCAGTACCCTGTGCTACACCGCCCAGCTGCTCCACCCTACTCTTTAGAACTCTCATGTCGCCCGTGCTCCCCCTCGGTGTGAATTAATCCTTTTTCCCTGTTAACGTACCTTTTTTGAAAGATTTAATAGCTCTTTCTCCTCTCTACGTGTGGACTATATCGAACTTACCTGAATTTTTTTTTTGGGCCTTTTCTTGTTTTTTGGGTTTTGGGTTTTATGTAGGTCTGACCTCTAGACTAGTACTATATTCCGCAGTGATGTGGCAAGTGACCGGAAGGAGTAGGTGGAGTCATTTTACTTTTCATTCCAGAAAGTAAACCTGTTGTTTAATTACAGCTCTGGAGAAGCAGAGACTGGCAGATCTCTTAGTTCAAGGTCAGCTTGGTCTACATGAGTTCTAAGCCAGAGAAGGCAAAACGATGAGACTCTTGTCTCAACGAAAAAAAAAGAGAAAAATACTGATAGCTATTAAAAACCAACTGTCGTAGAGCCAGTGAGATGGCTCTGGTGGAGGGAGACAACCGAGTCCTGCAAATTGTCTTCTGACCTCCGTCTCCCATCCCAAAATGTAATACTAATAAAAAAGGGGAAAAATCAGATTGAGGCAAGCTTGGGCTACCAAGAAGACCATCTTGTCTCAAACACTGCCTAAATCAGCCTGCAACTCCTGAAATGCAGACACTTCTCCACGGCAGGCTGAAGCCAGCACCGCTCTTCCTATTTTCTGTTTCTCCTGGAAATTAATGTCATTTGTTTCTATATCTTCCTTGTATTGTCTTTCACAAAGAGATTGAAATATGTTGCTGACTTTGGTTATTGTATCTTCTAATCAGCTACAGGAAGCTGCATTTGTCTCTTAACCTAGCATTTTGCTCCAGGCAGATCCTGACCAAGATTTCCAAAGGGTGGAAGGATTCAGGCTTACTGAGTCCAAGGTGTTCAGTTTCCATTGCTGAAGAAGCAAGACCTTTGGGATTAAACTCAACAAAGAAGCAACAAGGGAATTGTAAAATGATTCATTAACGAATGTTAGGAATTTCACAAGCAGTTTGTGATTTCACCAATAATACACTGACTGTGCTGGCTGCATAAATGGAATATCCCCTGCCCTATGACTCAGCAGCTAAACCAACAAACCTCCCTCTCCCGAGCCTTGTAAGAAGAGGAACACTCTGAGCTCTGTTTTCTGTGTGATTCCAAAGCTTTGGCCCTGAGAGGGCTCCAGACAACCTCTTCATTTTACACTAAAATGGTTGGAGAGATAAATGTAGAATAAGACAGCACTTCTAACAGCTGTCTGCTAGACCCAGCGAACCAGGCAGGAATCTGCAGCAGAACATGATCTCAAGCAGCTGCCTTTGCAAGATTCCTGGAGCTCTCAGAATTTATGAGTGACGGGAGCCATAAGCCTAAGCGACCCTTGACACACATGCTGGAGTGGATTCTAGTGATATGGCCTTCTGGGTTCAGGAAATTAAATATTCCAAACCAACTAAACACTTAAAATACAGGGAAAGAAGATAATCGGCTTGCTAGACATAAGCATGGATGTTTCTTATATTTCAGGAAAAGAATGGCTAGGTACTTAAGACGGCTATTACTCCTTCCTCTCTTACAGGCCTAGGTCAAGCTAATAATGTAGCCAGAAGGTCAGGAAAATCTAATGCTCCTATCTGGATCAAACAATGGCTTTTGAATACTGAGCGAACTGTAACTGTGACCTGTCTGGTGGAGGAGAAACTTAAAAATAGAACATATAAAGCCTCCCACCAGCCCTTGAGTCACCCCAATATTTGTTGTTTAATGAAAATCAGGGTCTGGAGAGATGACTCAGAGGTTAAGAGCACTAGCAGCTCTTCCAAAGGTCCTGAGTTCAATTCCCAGCAACAACATGGTGGCTCATAGCCATCTGTAATGAGATCTGGTGCCCTCTTCTGGACTGCAGTCATATATGCTATATACATAATAAATAAATAAATCTTAAAAAAAAAAAAAAAAGAAAATCAGGCTTGGGCTGGAGAGATGGCTCAGAGGTTAAGAACACTGACTATTCTTCCAGAGGTCCTGAGTTGAAGTCCCAGCAACCACATGATGGCTCACAGCCATCTATAATGAAATCTGGTGCCCTCTCCTGGCATGCATGGAGGCAGAATGTTATATACATAATAAATAAATAAACCTCTTAAAAAATTTTAAAAAAAGAAAATGAAGTTTATATACTGTTACAAGATCTTAAGAAATTAAATAAAATTTATTAGAGCCAACGGGAATCTCACAGCCTGGCTTGCCATCTCCCACGGCTATCCCTAGGAATCAAAACAACGATTGTTATAAAATTACAAGATTGCTTCTTTACCATACCTCCTCAACCTAAAGATTGTCAGCATTTCACTTTTAGCTTGCCTATTCCCCTGCCATGATGGAGGCCAAAGCTGACATACGAGCAGGAAATGCAAGTTCTGTTTATCCAGGACTCATTTATTGAGCAGAGTTCCTCATTTTATATATACAGATTAACTATCAGAACTAACTGTCAATTATAGCTTCCTCACAGCCCCCCAACCTATATGTATATATATATATGTATATATACATATGTCTTACAATACATTTATTGCATAGATGATATTATATTTATATCAAACTATGAAACTTATGAGTCTATATAATGGCAGATAGCTCTACAGGATATACTGGCACCTTTTCATATGTCTGTCCAACAATTATGAATTCTCTCCCTATGGAAGCTCACCCATGAGGCTTATGTCCTTATGATTTATGGTTATGAAATAAAAAGTAATACACCATTTCTTTCATTGTTTTTTAATTTTAGGAATGCCTTGAGCTCATATATAGACAACAGCCTTACATATACTTCAAAAGCTCTTAAGAATTGGTGCTTAATTTTTCATATCCCCCACTACAGGTATTCCTCATCACCACCAGGCCAAGCCACAAAGTTACACCTAAGCCTCTATGATCCCCTCACTGGTATTTAAAAAGGTCCTGATGTTTTCATAATGTCAGGAGGAGGATACATGTCTTTATAGGACACTGACCCGCCTTTATGAATCCTGGATCGCCTGGTCACACCACATACTAGGCAGCTGCAGGGCAAAGGCGCTCTAAAGCTGCCATACTGAATACAGGCTGTTATTTACCTCAAGATTCTTAAATATTGAGTCTTGAATATGAATAAATTGATACAATTCCAGACCCTTTTGAAGAACTGTTCATCAATGATAACAAAACTTATAGAAATATGATTAGAACTAATAATTCTGTTCTAAATGTATTTTATTAATTTTTGTCAAAAGATATATGAGACTTGAGAGATATATAAATGACACATTTCAGATTTCATTCTCTGATTCTCTGGCTATCCTGAGGCTCCAAGGATTCATAATTTTGCTCTGATAAAGTTCACCACTGTTATATTGCTAACATGTCTAAGA